TCTTGACCTCGTGATCCACCTGCCTCGGCCTCCCAAAGTGCTGGGATTACAGGTTTGAGCCACCGCGCCCAGCCTAAAACCCCGTCTTTATAAAAAAAAAAAAAAAGAGTGGAGCTTCCGTGGCTTCCTGTCTCACTAGTCAGGAGCCGGGGGTGATCTTGTCCAAGAGGGGCAGCATGGGAGAGTGAGAGAGCCTCAGGCTTGGAACCCAAGAACGGAGGTTCAAGTTGGGACTCCATTGGCTTCTATCTCCCCATTGGGAGCCCAAGCCTTTCAGTGAGGCCTTCCCACCCAGCACCGCGTGATGGGATGCACCGGGGTGAGCCTCAGGGCTGTGGTCCTATTCACACACTTGTCCTCCATCCTCTCATCCTGCCCCCAACTCCTCTCCCACTGGCTTCTCGTCCCCTGCACGGGGCCCGCGTCTGTACAGCTTCTGGCCTGCCGGCTTGCCAGTTAAGTCCCCGTGCTTGTCCTCCCTCCAGACACCATCTGTGTCTCTTGCTCCCCTAGGCACAGTGCGTGCCGTCCCTCTGCCCTTCTTGCACCAGCCCAGCACCTGGCCCTGACGTGGGCCCCTAGACACCTGTCCCAGCTGTGTGAGCTTTGGTGTGTCACCCTCCTATGCTCCCCAGCAACCCGGGATGCTACTTTACTGACCTCATGGTTTATTTTATTTTATTTTATTTTATTTTATTTTATTTTTTGAGACGGAGTTTCGCTCTTGTTACCCAGGCTGGAGTGCAATGGCATGATCTCGGCTCACCGCAACCTCTGCCTCCTGGGTTCAGGCAATTCTCCTGCCTCAACCTCCTGAGTAGCTGGGATTACAGGCACACGCCACCATGCCCAGCTATTGTTTTGTATTTTTAGTAGAGGCGGGGTTTCACCATGTTGACCATGATGGTCTCGATCTCTTGACCTCGTGATCCACCCACCTCGGCCTCCCAAAGTGCTGGGATTACAGGCTTGAGCCACCGCGCCCGGCCTCATGGTTTATTTTTTAAAATCTATGTTTACAACATTAAAAGAAAAAAAAAAACACAGGTTTTGGAAAGTCTTTGTAAACTGCAAATTGCTATTATTTTTAAATTTTAAATTGACATTTTTGGCTGGGTGCAGTGATTCATACCTGCAATTCCAGCACTTTGGGAGGCTGAGCTGCCCAGGTCAGGAGATGATGAAATAATTAGCATCCTGCACATATGAATAGCCAGGGCAGTGGTGCACCTGTAACCCGAGCGACTCTGGAGGCTGAGTGGAGAGCATTGCTTGAGCCCGGGAGGAGGCTGCAGTGAGTTATGATGGCACCACTGCATTCCAGCCTGGTGGACATGGTGAAACCCTGTCTCTACTAAAAATACTAAAATGGGCTGAGCGTGGTGGCTCACGCCTGTAATCCCAGCACTCTGGAAGACCGAGGTGGGTGAATCACAAGGTCAGGAGATCGAGACCATCCTGGCCAACGTGGTGAAACCCCGTCTCTACAAAAATACAAAAAATTAACTGGGCCCGTGGTCATGTGCACCTGTAGTCCCAGCTACTCAGGAAGCTGAGGCAGAGGAATCGCTTGA